ATCAATCAGTGTTGTCATCGAATACATTTATAACACGTTCAGAATGGTGGAACGAGTTCTGTTGCTGTCCGTCAAGTAGACATGTTGATTTAAAAAGGAAATAAAGCCGGAAATCACTGGCATCGGTAGTTTCCTGCAGCATTAAGTTTTAAATTTATATTTTTTTTTGCATTAACAACGCACATTCATTATATTATTGCAAAATTATTTGTATAAGTTCTGATAAGTACAAAATACTTGACAAATATCGTTATCAGAAAAAAAATCTTTTCCAAACATAACCATACGTTCGAATAACCGTAATAACCACTAATAAATAATCGGTAGCTGGAACAGTAATTACAGTTAATATTATCCGGACTTACATCTCTATGTTTTCTTGATGATTTGCATCGATCGGCTTCGTTGCCTCCGTTTCCAGTCATCTAAATTATTCAATAAGTTCCAGTTATAAGTAGCTATTGCCGTTATAAACTATAAAACTGTTTTCTTTTTCACACAAAATTTGTTTCTTGGATTCGGTTCAAAAATATATCTGATATCGGTTATATTCAAAATTTAATTAAATCGTGTAATTGAGATTAATCATTGCGGTTTATTAATCTGATTGATTAGTCATCGTTATTTTTGCTTAATTATTTTCTTTAATCGAACTAAATTACCGCGTAGTCTAGACAAGGTTGTATTAGTTAGAGTTATAAAGTCGAATCTATTTTTGATTTTTAGCGAAAAGTAACACGCGATGTAGCAAGATTTATGAAAAACATTTAGGAAGTAATGGCGACAAATTTGATTATAAGCAAAAACGTGAATTAAAAATCCGTCGATTATAAATTTAAAGCTCGATGATTAAATGTTAGGGGCTTATAAATACAATACAAATGATCTGCACTCGACCTATAAACTCATTTTAGTAACTAAGCAGAAATTGTTTGGGCAGTGAAGGTTTTTTGATACCAGCAAATAGGAAAAACTTGATGGTGTATGTTAAAATAGTGCTTATATATTGGAATCATCTTAATGTTTCTTAATAAATGCAAAAGATGTTAATATCATTAAAGGAGATGCTTTCCAGAAAATTCTAAGACTTTGGAATATGGGAAAAGCTGATTGTCGTGAATCTAATCACACTTAACGAAAAAGAATTTTTAAGGAATGAAAAAAAATAATTTTTAATGTTTTTGAAGGTATTTCAAAGATACTTGTAAATAACAAAAGCTTGTTTGTATGTGTCAAAATTGTTTTAATTGGTTAAAAGTACGCCTAGTGTTCTTAACTAAGTTGAAGTAATTGATAAAGTTTATTTTAAAGTGTTTCAAAGATACCAAGAAATAGATAAACATTGTTAGTGTGTATTAAAATGGTACTAATCGATTGGAATCATCTTGAAGTTTCATGCAAAACATGTTAATAATATCAAAGAAGATGCTTTCCAGAAAATTGTAAGTCTTCAGAATATGGGAAAAACTCCATGGTGTGAATCTAAATGGTTCAAATCGATTAATAATATAGCTAGGGTACTTAACGAGGATAAAAGAATTAAACAAATTAATTTCGAAGATTTTTGAAGGTATTTCAACGATATCTAAAAATAGAAAAAGCTTGTTTCGCAAGCTTGGTTCATTGTTTTTTCGTAAATAGTAATTAAAGCTATTTACCCTTCGTGAGTTCTCCTCTTCTTTTCGATTTCTGTGTCGTTGAGTTTCACCCAATTTCATATTCAGCTGCACAAAAAGTTTCTTTTCTTTCCAACTCAATTTCCAAAAACTGTCGAATTCTATCTTCCGAAGAAATAGGAAGTAAATAACATTTTAAACTAGGCTTTTTTGCTGAACCTTGATTTTTGGTAGATATTTTACACGAACACCTCTCTTTCAGAACTCGCTGTTGCTTTGGAATGCTGTATTCCCATTTCCCATCAACTATCTTTTTTTCTTTATACGAGTCGCTATCTCTCTTCTTCTTTTATTCTGCTCCCTCTTCCAGTTGGCTTCTTTAATGTGTCTTTTTAGTCTTTTTCTTCTCAAATGCTCCTCGTTTTCCGCATTTTCTTCTTCGGTATTCAAGTCTTCAGTAGGTCGATAATCTGGATCTTCGGCTGTTGATGTTTTAGTAGTATTTTGATCCACACTGCCTTTCACAATTTCATCCCTAGAAATATCTTCCGATGAGTTAGGCTCCGAATCTTTTTCTTTGCAATTTTGAACTACAGTAGGTTGATAATCTGTGTCTTCAGTTTGTGATGTCTCATTGGCATTTTTCTCAGTAACTTCTATGTTTTCGTCTTCCAAAGTATCTTCAGATAAGAAGTATACTTCACTAACTTCTATCTCCATATCTTGTAAATTCCTTGCTGTGTTCTGTTGATTGGAATTAGAATTTACCTCTGTTATACTGTGTTCTTGAACTACAGTATATTCCACATTGTTAGGTAGTTGAGAATCCACGAAAATTGGGGGCTTTGTCTACAATTTTTTGTGCACGGACACCATCTACGAAAATAAGACAAAACCGTAACAGTTGGCACTTTACAAAAGTAAATAAATTAAAAAAAAACACAAACATTTACTTCAAAAGTTACTTAACACAATATAAATGTACAGGGCGGTTCAAATTCGATGTCCGAATAGGCGATCTCGGAAACTATAAGAGCTAGAAAAAAAGTAGCTGACATGTCATGATCTCGTTTTTCGAGAAACTGCTAATGCCGAAAACGTCATAGCGCTATCGTCTTTTGTTTTTCCGCTAGAGGCCAAAATTGAAAATATCGTAAAATACGCAAATGTAATTATCTTGGTTATTATTATAGGTGGAGTATTATAACTATGGACACTTTTTTACAGAGAATTTGATGACGTAGTCAAAAAAATTTTGTCGGTTTTAGATTTTGAGATATTATCACAATTTTCGTTTTTTTAAATGGAAACAACCACTGATTATTCGCTTAATAAATTCGTTATTTTTTTCTGATTACAAAAATATAGGGTTTGACAGGTCTATTTCTTATTGTTTTAGAATAAAACTAAAAATAAACTTTTCTTTTAGTGTCTCGAGAAATCAACGAAAAAAGAATTAAATTTTGAAGGTTAATTCCGAGAAAAATCAAGAGATGACGCTAGTTTCGAAGCAAGAATTTTGAATTTTGAAAAGGGCGCGAAGCTAAGAGCCAATCAGAAACGAGGAAAAAACAGTTGGAGTGCC